TTGTCTTTTACTATAGCTAATAAATAGTTTATAATAATAATAAAAAAACCAATAAAAATCTTGAGAATTTTAGCATTCAATATCTTGTCATTTTATTGAACGCTGAGTTTGTACTACGTACATGTGTATATGAGTATGCCCGAAACATTCGAGCGTTCAATATCGAAAGCTCCGTTGTAAACTAAAATATCATCTGATCAACCCTTTTTAATATATTCGATCAGTGCATATTATCTATTCAAGATATATTACTAAAGTCAGGTACTCTTCACACAATTGCTCCGAAGAAAATAGTTCCATTCATGATCAGTAGATACAACATTACAACAAATGTTAAGAATAATGATGTATATTTAATTCGTTAAAGAAAACAAAATTAACGTAAAATGATTTTAAGAAAATCACTTTTCCCCAGAAAAGAAAACAAAAAGTTTTCATATTCCTACGCTCGCTGCCTCCTCAGTCTTTTTCACGAAAATATATAGGTCATCCTTCGATTGATAATGATAAATCTTTTCACCAAATATATACCTGTCATGATTATTGTTCGTTAATTGCCCTATATTTTCTTTTGAGTGAGAATGTTAATCATTAACTGTGTGTGTTTTTTTTTCTCTTTTTTTTAAATAACGGAATGGATATTATGGTTAAACACCTGCAATCGTAACTTCTCGGCAAAGCACCGTGATTTGCCGAGCTCGTCGGAAAGGATCTTCGCACGTGTGTAAATCTAGTCTATTTGGTCTTGCAAGCACAGGTATGTGCACCGTTCGCTAGCGACGCTTAGATCATGTAGAATGGGTATCAGTATTTGCTACGGACATGAGGAAGAACTATACACCAGTTTCATAACAAGTCGTGTTTTTTACTCAAGCCCTAGACTAGGCTAGAGGGGCTGAGTTATCTAAAACGATGCTAGGTCATTGATCTACTCAGTTTATAAACACGAAAATATACTATTTTTGTAAATAAAAACATTTCTAGAAACAAAAATGTAGTTTATCTTCAAAACGTCTCTATATTCAAAGTCTATATAAAGTGTTAAATGTCGGATTTTATTCTATGACGAAGGAATGTTCAGTGACGCTCCACAGCCGCAACCGATCTCGCGCTTTACTTTGCGTTTAACAACGGCCGTCAATGCATCTCTAGACGAGTTCATTGATTACTCTTGTTGACCCATCTTTAACATCTGCCTATACTTTGAGTGATAGTACTTTAATAGCACAAAATTAAAAAATAAATTAAAATCTATCCTTGATAGATGTATAGTTTTGCTATTTAAAAAATTGGGCTATCTTTGATCTTTGCTTGGACTTGTTTCGAATTTTTACAGAAGATTCTATCATTGGAAAGTTAGATGGTACACATGTAGCACAGGCCCATAGTACGCGGGATTTTTTCGGAGCCCCCCCCCCCCCTTTCACATTGAAAACCTTGCTACAGGCCTGTAATATGCTATTTGGATTAAAATATTCCTGAAAATGAGTGAGCTGTTAAATACATCTTTAAAATTATACGGTTAATTATATTTAGTCTATGTTCTATGGGAAATTAAAACTATTTTTTAGGCATCTGCAACGTTGTGATAATAAGTCACTACACGCATGTAACGTTATATATGTACATGCAGTTTCCTTAGTACATGCATATTTTAATCAACAAAAGATGTTGAAACTCAGTAGCCTAAATATTATGTCATTTTAGGATATTTATGGCCATTGTATAGTTGACTTTCTACAGCTTGATAGTTTTTTTTAATTAGAAATCATCTGAGCATAATGAAAATTCGAATAAATTAAAAGTCGAATATCTTGGATATGGGGTAACCCATATCTGTTCTTGTTGATAGATAGTGGCAGCTTGTAAGATGTGTTTATTTTCACACAAAATTGAAATTATTGTTTTATAAATTAGTACGTATTAGCCTCATAAAACCTCAATAAGCAAATCATAACGCTTGGTAGGGCCATTGCAATGATGCAATATTGAACACTAACAGGAAAGACGTTAATTTTAATACCGATACTGAAAAATTCTTATAAACTTAAGTTATTTAATTGAAATAATTAATATAAATAAAAGGGAGATGTTTTAGCTATATAATAATGGAGTTATTGAGCTTATATTGGATAATATTGGCACTCGCAAGCTCGTGCATTTGTACAGCCAACTCGTGCCAATATTCACCAATATAAGTTCAATAACCCTATAGTATTTATGCAACACTCAGAATAATATTAATGATAATAGAGATGTGTTTTTCATGCACTCTGCCTAAAAAGTAGCCAGACTTTGACAAATAGTGCAACGCTTCCGGCTCATACACTATGTGTCAAACCATATCTTCTTATTTAAGCATAGCACATAAAAACAATATAAAAACTATTACATAAGTACAAACACTTAATGGCTGTATATTAATTAAACATTTAATTGAAAATTTTGAATGTTCTTCTATGCTGTGCTGAAAAATTAGATAACGCGTATTAGCGCGTTCAGAAAATTTATCGGCACCTCCGTCCGCGATATTTAAGCATTGAATTCTTATTTTTGGATATCATCGGTTCTATTATAGCACCTGGCCGTGCCGACATATTGAATACCGAATATTTGAATAGTTAGGTGCTGTTATAGGACCAAGGCCAATCAAAAATAAGAATTAATTGCTTATATTTACATTCTCTATTTTTCTCTCTTATTAATTGATAATTTCGATAATATTTATAAAGGATTTAGCGCCTTTCAGAACTGGTGTGCTTAATAGACGTAACTCTACTAAAAAAAACTATAGTCAACTATAGTTTACTATAGTTAACTATAGTTAACTGTAGTATATCAAATTATTAAGATTATCACTATAGTAAATCAATTTTTTTCAAAGTTACCACTATAGTAAATCAAATTTTTTTCAAAGTTATCACGATAGTAAATCAAAATTTCACCATAGTAAATCAAAGTTTTTATAGTGATCACTATAGTAAATCAAAGTTTTCATAATTATCACTATAGTGTCATAGTGATCACTATAGTAAATCAAAGTGTCAAAGTTATCACTATAGTTAACTATAGTTTTCATACTGTCAAAGTTATCACTATAGTTAACTATAAAAACTATAGTTAACTACAGTATTTTTTTGTTAGGGAAGAGCCGTCGTGAAGTTGGTAAGTTAAATAACGCAAATGAATATTGCGAGGGAAAAATGACAGATTAATTTTAAATGTACAATTGTTTTCTTTTTATATTTTCTTTTATTATAATACAATAGGGTTATTATTTCAGGGTAAAATAGGGCAATTGTTTTAATCAAATTGAGCTATACATTTTGGTGTTCCTAGAGTATTGAAAATGCATATAGTTCCTACTGTGTATTCTACAGCGCAGCGACAAGGTTTCTCGCGTTTTACAGAGTATTGAATGTTCTAGATTTCCAATGGATTTCATAAAAAACTACACTGAATGTAGATATTACTCGATAAACGTCCAAAACAATTCAAAACTTATACTTACATTATTTGATTTCATCGTAGATTCATAAAATATTGCTTCTTTGAAAATATTTTGTCTGTTTAAATAAACACCGCATTTTTACACCCTAGTTGAGGGAGCAGTCTTTCCTGTTCAGTATGAGCATGTACTTGAAATTTATTTATGACGTTGTACTTGAACGGCGTAGAACGTTTGTGACTTCAAACTATAAAATCATTACTTAATCATTTGACCTCCTCGTCTGTGTTATTGCTTTATAAATTCCAAAGCTTTCAACACACTTTTTAAGAAAAAGTATACATGTACTTCGAATCTAAATATTGATCTATAGTGGCATAGCACAAAATGGCTCTTCGTGTTGACGTAATAACACTAGCTGTGTCAATCTTAACGATCTATAGTGACATTATATACAGTAGATAGCCTAAAGTGTAAGCATCTTATATGTATAACTACGTAATTTATAGTAGAAGGTTCTGAATAACCAACATATGACAAAATAATATTTTTAAGCAACTTCATTGAAGGAAAATAGAATATCACTGTACAAAAAAGCGAAGATTTCTTGATAAGAAATGCTTACTACGTTAATCAAATTTTAATCTTGAAAATACTGAGAGGCATTTTATACAAATTATCAAATAAACGTTTAAAGGTTCCAATTCAAGTACTTCAATGACAACTTAAATGATACCGTCTCCTCGTTGCACTATGCATGAGGAAGTTATTCCTTCAGGAAGGAGATTTGAAATAAAGCACAAGTTTAAGCAGAACAGTCACTTTTTAATTTCTATGAACCAGAAGTAGTTATGGCATTACCATCCACGCAATATTTCTTTAGAATTTTAACTCTCTCTCTCCTTTGGACACTATGCTGTTTTGTGGATTTTCCTCCCAACGAAACATTTAGATGGGTTGCGCGGGGCTGGAATGGGCTACCACTCTACTGCCCAAACCGCTGTAAAATAAGGCAACACATGGGAACAGCGAAAGATCAATGTTGTGCATGTCGCGCTAAAAGCCTTTTGGATTACAATACCAATTTTTCTCACCTGAACATTTCAAACGATGGATATTTAGAAGGGAACACATCTGAAAAAAATGTAGCTTTGGAGTATTCCTACAAGTATCTACAAGCTTTTCCAATGAATATCTGTGAATTTCCAGGAATAACAAGGATCATTTTGTCTCACAATCTTATTCTGGGAATACCAAATCTAACCTGTCTCCCAAATTTGACACGCCTGGATTTGTCTTGGAATTCATTAACAGTTTTAAAAAAGTTTTCGTTGACACGAAATAAGAATCTGAGATTTGTTAATTTTTCTCACATTCCATTAGTTATATTGAGACTGGAGTTTTAGCATCTACGGCCTTTCATGCTCTTAATTTGAAAGGGAACTTTGTGACATCTGTCGACATCACAGACATTATTTTTGAAAGGCCATTTTGTTTTATAGATTTCTCAAATAACATTCTGAGTATGGTCACAAATAAATGTAAGTGGAAAATGAACTTGACGAAAACATATGGTCCAGGTTTTGGAGATTTCTCACACAATCAGTTCAGAGAAATACCACATGTACGAAAATTAGGATTTACGAATATCTTTGATGTGGGAAAACTATTTGACTTCGGATTTGACGTGAGATATAATCCTCTGATATGCAACTGTAGAATTGCTAAGCCGGTAATGTTTTTTAAGGCATACATTGACATTATGGAGAGGGATTACTTTATAACCTGTGGATCTCCAGATGCTTTCCGAGGAAGAACTATTCCAAGCATCATTGATGAGGAACAAATAACAGACTTGATTTGTAATGATACTTCAAAACCTGTGTGTCCTCCAGGATGTTCTTGTATTAAAAAACCATGGATCACGAGTCTTAGAGAGCGAAAAATGAAATTAATACTTCATATGAACTGTACAGGAGCTGGACTAAAACGACTTCCTCATATTCTTCCCAATAGTGAAGAAATTGAGTTCTATTTGAGAGGGAATCCAATGAAAGAAATAACAAAGGAATATTATTTGGAACGAGTCACTGTTCTTTACTTACCATTTATACCTTCTTTTGAAATGGAAGCCCTGGAAAACCTTACTCATCTGAGGGTGTTCTCTATTCCAAGGTCCCGACAAGTCCATGGAATTCCTCGTATACTTTCTTTCTTGGATCCGTGCGTATTTCTTCAGAGGGGGAATTTCGTTATGAATTGCACTTGCTCTCATTTTTGGATGTATAATTGGATTAAAACAAAACAAGCTGACAATTGCACGTCATATTCCTTTAATTGCTTAAAAAGAGATGGTGAAGATCTATTGACAACTTATATTCCCAATCTTGATTGCAGGAACTCTAATCAAGATCATACATGTGTCCTCCTATTGTCAGGTTCTTCAGCATTTGTGTTTACATTCATCCTAACTATTTTAGCTTGTATCTGGAAGTTTGAATTCAGGGTCATTCTTAGATCTAGACGAATATGTACGATGTCAAAGAAGACTCTGGACGAGGATTGTGTTGTTTACTTGTCATATGACGAAAAGATCAAAGATTTAAATTCCTGGCTGATTAAGAGACTCGAACCTTTTTTGACAAGAAATTATTTGAGTGCATTCATCCCGTCACGTGACTTACCTCTGGGCTGTATTAGATCGGAGGAGAGGGCATGGCAAATATCAGTCTCTAGGTACTATATCATATTTCTGTCTGTCGACTATTTCGACGAGGACTCTTTACAGACACAGAATGACTGGAAGTGTATCTGGAACAGTTACTTGTCTGACTCTAGGAAGGAATTAGTGGTCATAAACTATGATTTGATGAAGACGACTGATGTTCCCTGTAACACATTTAGGGCAGTCATGCGCTTTGGCAGTGTTGTGGATTTTGCTTCAGGAGAAAAGAAAATATTTTCTCAGATATCGAAAAAGTTTCTTAATTAATCGCGAGATATTTTTTATGCAATTAATTTCACGAACTAAGTAATGAACCTTTATTGAAAATACTTTGAACACATTGTTATGAAAGAATTTCCATGAAAATATTATATTCACAGAAAGTAAACGTCTTTTATAAAGAACCTCAAGAGACTCCGATACATGTAACGGGTGTAGGTTGTAAGCGGAAACCGGAAGCACTCATTACCCCTGTATCAAACACATTTCAAACCACTAGTATATTGGGATATTAAGTATTAGATAAATTCTTAATTTACCTAAAAAGAATTCTATAATTAGATGATATCTTCACAAACTATAGCACGATGTCTTCTGTACAATCTTCGTCTTTATGATTGTCAGATCATCGTAGTAAGTTTGTTATATTTGTGTTGGGCAGACCGGCATGATTACATTTTCCTCTGCGTTTAAATTGTGCTCAGTGTTGTAGGAGAGATATCAAAATTCACTGCTATTTGTTTTTTGTTTCCGCATTTATTGCGTAAATAATTTCCCTATGCATCGAGAGAAACGCCGCATCAAGACGCCATTTCAAATTGATTAAAAAAGATTTTTTTCATACAATTTATTAAAAAAATATTCCAGTGACGCAATCGATTGTCACCTGAAGAAAAAAAAAACACTAATCATCAGGCCTACAGAGCACACAGGTTATTATGTCACGGATTCGTGACTATTCTGCAGTCGCAAAGCTGAAAAGGTGTGAAACCAGGAATACATTATAAGAGAGAAATTATGTAACAGGACCAATTTATTTATACGAATTCTTTGGAAGTGGTGTGTTTTATTCAATGAAATAATTTGCAAGTTTTCCTGGGATTACATCCGGATATACTTTAAAACCGAGTTTATTATTTTTTGTCATTTATTCCAAGCTCTCTGATTGGCTCAAACTTGATCACATGATCAAGTATATGAAAGCATATCGACTTGTGTTACTATTTAAAGATTCTGAAATGCATATCGACTTAAGGTTTCTATAAAATGGAGATAATTATTGATAAGAAATAAAAAATAACATTAAATAATAAATAAAGAAAACTTTATTGAATATATGTAATAAAGATTACTGGTAAAAAAGCAATTTTAAAGAGATAAGTCTCATTACACATTCTATGACGCCACAAGTTCTATGTTCTAGAGTGTAGCCCTTGCTAGCATCGAATCGAGAGGTGGACTAAGAGCCTGGAATTGTAGCGCAGTTGTCTTGAATAAATAACGGCGACATATAATGCTTTGAATACAGTAAGCAGCACCTTGTACTGGGTTTTGAATTCTACTGTCAACCAATGCAAAGAAATAACGAGATACCAACCTCCAATTAATTGTTCTTTCCAAATACTTAAATAAAGAGATGAATAAATAAATATTTAAAGTGAAAATTGAATAATTAGACTTCAATGAAGTCTCTACATGTGCTAACGTTTTGTACTAGAGCACTATTTGTGGACGCTAAATTAATAATGCTTTGTTAAAAGATATACATTAATATCATAACTCTGGTTTCGTAATATTTTCATGGGGATCAAATTTCGAGGTTTTAGCGAGAAAAGCAATTCAGATGATATGTGTATTCCTTGCTAGCAACCTCGTTCTATTCTATAGTTCATGAAAATTGTAGTTCATTGATCCCCTCATTTTTGCGGTCTGATTCAACCACGATAAAAAAACGAAATTAGTGTTTAGTGAAAAATAATGAATAATAATACGGTATCTTATAAAATGTAATTTCTGAATGAAAAAAAGACCGTATTCAGTGGTATTAGTGATATATATCAAAATGCGTTGTATGATACTCTGCCATAAAATGTGATTTACTAATATACTACACAAAAAATTATTAACATTTTTCTGTTCTCGGACAGTTATGGCGGAAGCAAATCATTATTGAATTATTATTTAAATTTGCAGCTGTACTTTAAAATGACAGGTTCTTTGGACAAAAATCGAAATGTTACTGACTTTGTTACCGGTATGCCCTATTTTAAAAAAAGATGAAAATTATATCAAAAATGTTTAAAATGAAAGAAAAACAATAGAAAAGATTTTTTTACTCTTTCCTGAAACATTTAAAGACTGATGAAAAAATACTTTTTACAGACGGTGAAGAAAAGAAGTAAAGGACAAGATTAATACCATGGATAAATATGTAGTAGTATGAACTTGCGTAAAAGACGAAATCTGACCTATTGTCCGAATAGTTTCTAGCAGAAAAAAGTTCTGATTCATTCTTGTCCGCAAGAGGAATTCCTAATTCTAACCCATTCAGCATAGAAACTTTTGATGGATCAAGACCTAGAGACGAGAGTACTAATTCATCGTCGACTGTAAGAATTTCTGATAAATTCACTTTGTCAGCAGGAAATTCTGATAAATTCTCGTGGACAGATGAAAGTGTCATTAAACCTTTGTTGATAACAGGAAGTTCTGATAATTGTTTTAGAAGTGAAATGATGGAGTCGACTGTACCTAGAACCAAAATAAAGACAACAACGACAGTCATCTGAACTTTTAGATCACCTGCTGCTCTAGACTGATGAATGAAGTATGTTATATTGATAACAATGAAAAATACAATTAGGGCTATGTCATCAGTTACAATGATCAAAGTACGCGTTTTCGAAAGCTTAAAAGACTATGAATTAAAAACGATGCAATAGCCAAATATTCCACTCACTATCATACAAAATGTGGAGGGAATTGCAATATATTTGTTTCTTAAGTGTGCACGGCTTTTTCAGTGGGTAAACAAACATAAAGTATCGTACTGTTGCTAAAAGGGTAATGTTTAATTTGCCATTCAGTTTCGTTGAGTATTTGTATACATCATACATTTTTTTTTATTTAAACTTTTAGAACAGAGGTCAATCGAAATGAAGAAATGCCTCATTTCATACACTATGCATAAGATGTCTGCAAATGCAAGACTCAAAATTGAGAGATAAAAAGGTTTTCGAAGGTTTGGATTTGCTGCTATGGCTATGATTGTTACAACGTTACATATTATAGCCAGAGAGCAGAAAACGTTGGTTAAAATGAAATTTTCCAAAAGTTTTGTTTTCCAACAATTTGATTGTACGCTTCTTCATCAAAAGTTGATGATTGAAAAGCTTTGCATATGGGTGAATTAAAAAAAATGACCAAATGCATATTTATCAACTCACACTAAAAATACAGGCAATGAAAATAGATTTCTATGTCTCAGCATATGTCTTTAGATAGTGTCTAAATACCTGCCAAATATCTCGTTGATATCTCAATTAACAAAAAAGTTATGCCCAAAAATGATGCTAAAATTGTCAGGAGTGCAACACCTTTTTGTGACATTTTGAAATTTCAATATTTTTTGGAGATCTGTGAAATAAAAAATAATGCTTCATGTTGAAAAGAAAGACTTTCCTGATAATATTCAAAGTATTGAGCTTTAAATGTGGACTGTCATAACTTTTGTTTAATCAAGTTGTGGTCATGGCTGATGTTTAAAAAAATGTTAAACCATGTCAGGAGTGCAACAGAAAAAATGTAGTGTTGCCAAAAAAACATCAATTGTAAAATTCTGATAGAAAATTAAGACAAAAAAGAATTTTGGAAGTGTAAAATAATAATTGATATACATTTTAAAACTTAAAAATGTTATATAAATCACAAGCAGCATTAATGAGAGTCAAGTATATGTGCATACCCCAAAATGTCAGGAGTGCAACATTTGATGTTTTGCTCCCAAGCATGAAAAAACTATTATCATTATATGATTTTCTGATTTTTGTTTTGGAAAATAAAGACACAAAGAACACTTTTATCAAATAGATTTATCAATTACAGGATCTGTCTGTGCTTCAGATCTATATTTCTATGGTCAGGAGTGCAACACATTTTTTAAAAGATTCAAGTTGTGTGACGAAAAGACTTCTATTCATGCTCAGAAGTATTCATTAATTAATAATGATCTTTTAGTGTAATTTAGTGCTAAATTATTGACAGTTTTATTATGAAAATCCTTCCTTTTTCAATTTTATCAATTCAGATGTGTTTCTATCTTTTTGTGATTTTGTTTAATGAACGTTAAAAATAAACACACTAAAACATTGTCATAAAATTCAAGTAATTCCTCCTCAACTTCACTGAAACAACAGAACAAGTTCTTATGTAATTTTCACTTCACAATTCTACTTTAAAGGCCCCAATGCTTTTGGTCAGGAGTGCAACAAATGTGTTAGAATTATAAATCATCCACTAAGAATAAAAATAAAGAAAAAATGATGAGTAGAATTTTTCTGGTGGGTTACTGTGTTTGTCTTCTAAAGGAAAATATGCTTTAAAATATATTTTATCTTCTAAATATACATTTAAGCTAGTTTTTGGGCATAAAATAGGGTATAATTCCAGATAAAATGCGAATCTTAAATACTTTCATCTGTTTTAATTATGAAGTATTGGACTATAAGTATTGCACAATTACATTACCACTTGATGTTGCCAACACTTTATGAATTTTTGTGTTCTATGGTTTTAATTTTAAACTATACTGCGGTCAGGAGTGCAACAAAACTGCTTCATAATTACCGATGCTTTTTAACTATCTTTACTAAAAAATAAGTTGAAAAAAAATGCTTGATACTATTTGATGTTCAAAACACTATGTCTATCAACAAACTACAAAAATTTTACAGTCAATTCAGGGAATAGTTTTCAATATTTCACATATATTTTAGATACATTTTATATATATTACACTTTGCAAATAAACATGTTTTAGATCTTCAAAATATGAAAAACCTGCTGTAAACGATGAAAAATATCAACATGGCAAATTGATTTACAAAGTAAGAATGGGTTATTGTGTGATATAATTTTTAAAACAATGTTAAATAAAATACATATCAGATGTCAGGAGTGCAACACAATAATGTAACATAGGGTCACTTCAAAATCTAGTATTTTTTTGTAAGAGAACTCGTATAAAACAATTCTTTTTTGGCTTAGATTTAAAGAATTGACTTGAATGGACAAAAAAATGATTTTGGGGA